AAGGACTTCCCTGGTGGCCCAGAGCCTGTGAGACAGCAACACACACATGCACGCACACAGGCACACACCATACATACACATACATGGAGTCCCACAAGTAGAGGAAAGAGAGGGACAGAAAAAATATTTCAATAACTAATGGCAAAAAACATTCCAAATTTGATGAAAAGCATTTATCTACGAACCCAATAAGCTCAATGAGCCCCAAATAGGATAAAAACAAAGATGTATCACAGCTAAATTTTTTTTTAATTAATTAATTTTATTTATTTATTTTTGGCTGCGTTGGGTCTTCGTTGCTGCGTGCCGACTTTCTCTAGTTGCGGCCAGCGGGGGCTACTCTTTGATGCTGTGCGCGAGCTTCTCATTGCGGTGGCTTCTCTTTGTTGCTGAGCACAGGCTCTAGGCACGCGGGCTTCAGTAGTTGTGGCACGTGGGCTCAGTAGTTGTGGCTCGAGGGCTCTAGAGCACGGGCTCAGTAGTTGTGGCGCATGGGTTTAGTTGCTCCGTGGCATGTGGGATCTTTCCAGACCAGGGCTCGAAACCACGTCCCCTGCATTGGCAGGCGGATTCTTAACCACTGTGCCACCAGGGAAGCCCACAGTTAAACTTTAAAACCCAAAGACAAAGAGGAAATCTTGAAAGTAGCAAGAGAAAAACTACTCCTTCTGTGCAGAGAACCAGCAACACGATTAAAGCTGACTTCTTGTCAGAAACACCAGAGGCCTGCAGACAATGCTTGAGAAGGAATAACAGCAAAAATAACCTTTCACAGCCTGTAGAGGAGGTGAGAGCACCTCCTGCGTCCAAAGGTAGACAAAGACATTACAGGGGAAAGAAAGCTATATACACACCAACATTCCTCCTGGACATTGACACAAAAATCCTTAATAAAAAATACCAGCGAGGGCTTCCCTGGTGGCGCAGTGGTTGGGAGTCTGCCTGCCAATGCAGGGGACACAGGTTCGTGCCCCAGTCCGGGAAGATCCCACATGCCGCGGAGCAGCTGGGCCCGTGTGCCACAACTACTGAGCCTGCGCTCTGGAGCCCGTGGGCCACAGTTACGGAGGCCCGCGTGCCTGGAGCCTGTGCTCCACAACAAGAGAAGCCACCGCAATGAGAAGCCCACGCACCGCAACGAAGAGTAGCCCCTGCTCGCTGCAACTAGAGAAAGCACCCACGCAGCAAGGAAGACCCAGCGCGGCCAAAAATAAATAAATTAAATAAATAAATTGATTTTTAAAAATCATAATAAAAAGCTATTATGAGATTTAAAAAAATACCAGTGAAATCCAGCAACACATAAAAAAGAATTTATCCCAGGAATTCAATGTTGGTTTAATATTCAAAAAGTTAATTAATGTACTATACTATATAGATAACATGAAAGGCAAAGAAATGATCATTTTAACAGACACAAAAAGAATCTGAAATTCTTTTTCAGGAAGCCAATACTCATTGATGATTTAAAAAAAAATACTTTCAAAAAAGTAGAAGTAGAAGGGAACTTTCTAAACCCGGTAAAAGGGCATGTACAGAAAAACTTACAGTGGTGATCATATTCAGTAGTGAAAGACCACCAACTCTCACCTTCAGATGGGGAGGAGACGTCACCGTCCACGCTCACCCTGCTGTTCGACATTGTGCTGTAGAGTCCAGCCTGCACAACAAGGCAGGACAAAGAAAAGATCATGCTTGAATTGGAATGGAAAAATAGCTGTCTTTATTTACAGATGATATGATCCCATACTTAGAAATAGTTTAGTAAGATCTCAGGATATAAGATCAATATACAAAAATCAATTGTTTTTATATACTAGAAATGAACAATTTGAAATGAAATTAGGGAGAATTTTTCATTCATAGTAGCACTGAAAGTAATAGAATACTTGGGAATAAATTTAACAAAAGAAGCACAAGACTTGAGCTGAGGAAAATCCAGAGCTAAATAAATGGAGAGATATTCTTTCTTCATGGATTAGAAGACTCAAGTCTTCGTCAAGATGGTGATTCTCCCAGAATTAATCTATAGATTCGATGCAATTCCTATCAAATTTCTAGCAGAACTCTGTAGAAATAGACAAGTTGATCCTAAAGTTTATATGAAAATGGAAGGACTCAGAAGAGCCAAAACAATTTCTAAAAGGACAAAATTAGAACAGATACACTCCGCCACTTCAAAACGCTACAAAGCCCCAGTGGCAAAAGACATACTGTAGGCATAAGGATTGAGACACACATCAGTGAAACAGAATTAAGCGTCCAGAAATGAACCCACATATGTATGGACAGCTGGTTGTTGACAAAGATGTCAAGACAACTTAACATGAAAAGATTAGTGATTTTAACAAAAGGTGCTGAGACAACCGGATATCCACATGCAAAAAATAATAATAACTTAGACCTATAACTTGATCGTACACACAAGCTACCTCAAAATGCATCATAGGCTTAAATGTAAAAGTTAAAATTACAAAACCACTGGAAGAAAAAATGAGAAAATACTCATGGCCTTGGGTCAGTTCTTAACACACCACCAAAAGCACGACACATAAAAGAGAAAATTGATTCCTTGGACTTTATCAAAACTACAAGCTTTTGCACTTCAAAGGAGACTATCAAGAAAGTGAAAAGACAAGTCACAGACTGGGGGAGACTGCAAATCTTCTACCTGCTGAAGGACTTGTATCCAGAATATATGAAGAGTTTTTAAAACTCAGTAACAACAAGACAAACAACCCAATTGAAAAATGTTCAGAACATTTAAACAAACATTTCACCAAAGATATACAGGTGGCTAAGAAACCCACGAAGAGATGTATAGTTAATGATGGAATAAAATGTATGTTTTTAAGACAAGACAAGAAAATTTAAGCAGACCATACTCTCCGCCCTGGGCCCTCCTCAAGAGCAAGAATCTCTGCCTCACCAAAAAGATCATTTTTTTTTTCCCTCCTTCCTTCTTTTCCTAGTACTGTTACGGTCATGGTGACCTGCACTCGATTCATACGTGTAGAGCTGGAGTGTGTATTTTCGGTGAACTTTACATAAAATGTCAGGGTCATTTCGATGAACAATGCTTTGTCTTGAAAATGTATAGAGCTGTGCCTTCAACTTCTAGCAAGCTGAACAGTCCTCAGAGTTTTCTGAGTTATAATCCTCAGGTTGCCTTGAATAAAATTCTCTATTTCTTCCTTAGATGGACTACTCATTAATTTTTGTTGACATTAGCATCATTAGTTATTAGGGATGCAGATTCAAACCACGGTGAGATATCACTCATCCTACTAGTGGGTATGAGGTCAGCGTTATGAGCAGAATTGTTTCCTCCCAAAATTCATACGTAGAAGCCCTAACCCTCAGGACCTCAGCCTGTGACAGTATGTGGAAATATGGTCTTTAAAGAGATAATTAAGTTAAAATGAAGTCATATGGGTGGCCTTAATCCATTCTGACTAGTGTCCTTATAAGAAAAGGAGGTTAGGGACTTCCCTGGTGGCGCAGTGGTTAAGAATCCGCCTGCCAATGCAGGGGACATGGCTTCGAGCCCTGGTCCGGGAAGATCCCACATGCCGCGGAGCAGCTAACCCTGTGCTCCACAACTACTGAGCCTGTGCTCTAGAGCCCGCAAGCCACAACTACTGAAGCCCACGTGCCTAGAGCCCATGCTCCGCAGCGAAGAGTAGCCCCTGCTCGCTGCAACTAGAGAAAGCCCACGCGCAGCAGCAAAGACCCAATGCAGCCAATAATTAATTAATTATTTATTTTTTAAAGGCTTAAAAAAAAAAGGAAAAGGAGATTAGGACACAGATACACGCAGAGGAAAGGCCATCTGAAGACACAGGGAGAAGCGGGCCTCTATAAGGCAAGGAGAGAGGCCCAGAGGAAACCAACCCTGACGACACCTTGATGTCTGACTTCCAACCTCCAGAATCATAAGGAAATAATTCCTGTTGTTTAAGCCACCCGGTCTGTGGTACTTAGTTATGGCAGCCCTCGCGAGCGAATACAGACGGCTGCAGCAAAAAGGAGAGATGGTAACACGCGTCCAGGGCGGGGGTGAAGCCAAGCCCCTCTGCACCGCTGATGGGAATATGAAATGCTGCAGCCACTTTGGAAAAAAGTTAAAACATTTTCTTTAAAAACTACATGTAAACTACCATACGACCCAGCAATTCCACTCCTAAGTACCTGCCCAAGAGAAATGAAAGCCCTGTGTCCACACAAACACTAGTCCAAGAACGCTGGCGGCAACGCTGTCAACAGTAGACACACCCGGGACGAACAGTCCAGAGCCTGGCGACTGAATAGATAAGACGGGACACATCCGCAACACGGGGCACTAGTCAACAGCAAAAAGGCATGACACAGCCGCGCCATCGCTCCTCGGCCAGCTGTGAGCCCAGGTGTGGAGCCCCGACCCTGCTGGGCTGAGCCCCGGGGTCCTGAGACCACGGGCCCCGCTCACCTGCTCACTCGGACAACGCGCCTGCGCGGCGGCTGCTCTATGCCTGGCGCTGTGCAGGCTCTGGGCCACAGCGGCTACCAGGAGCCACAGGCTTGCCCTCCGAAAGCGGACAGTCGGGGCTTTGGACGCCGAGCCGTGAGGAGGAGGCCCTCTGGGCGGGTGGGGGCCCAACCCAGCTGTGCCTGAACCAAGCGGACCAAAGGGGGCAAGACTGCGCGCCCGACAAGGTGGTGCCTGGGAGCCTGGACATCCCCAGGGTAGGATGCTGGCCAGGGTGTCTGTCCCCTCCCCGCCCCGCCTGCAGTGCGGTGGTGTGTGTGAGGTGTATGTATATGTGTGTGCAGCGTGTGAATGGTGTGTGTGTGAGATGTGTGCCGTGGCTGGATGCGGTGTGCGTGTCTAAGCCAGTGACAGGTTGGGGGGGCGGCACAGCTCCTACGGGCACGCGTGGGAGGCGGGGCGGCGGCGGCAGACGCAGTGCTCGCCTCCTCCAGCCTGCATCTCCCTGGCAACAACGGCAGCCTCGGTCTGGGGCTCGGCCCCTCCCCCGCCGCGCCCCAGCTGAGAAGCGTCTGGAACCGCATCCTTCCTCCGCATCCTTGTCCTGCGACTGCATCCTGCTGCAGCTGCCCGTTGGAGCCGCCTGTGAGCCATTTGCACATTTGTCCTTGTGGAGCGGAGCTGGGGGGCGGGTGGGGGGCCGAGTGTGCGCACGAGTGTTGGGTGTGCGGGGGTCGCAGGTATACTGGTGTGTGTGCACGGATGTGCGAGGGGCGTGTGCAGGGGTGAGAGAGTGGCGGGGGGGGGGGGAACTGCGGCTGACCCGTTGGCAGCCGGCCGGGCAGGGGTCGGCCCAAGCGCAGGAGGTTGTCCTCAGGCCCCCCCGAGGATCCGGGGCCTCCGCGGGAAGAGTCCCTGCCTGGATGTTCCAGAAGGGCCGTGGGTGTCCAGCCTTGCGCAGACCCGACGTGCCTCCCAGATTCCCGTCCGTGGTAGAGCGGGCAAGCTCGGGTGGGGGTAGGACTGCTGGACATCAGCTCCCCCTGTCCCATGGAGACTGCAGCCCCCTCCCCGCGAGCCAGCTCCACCTCTGCAGGTCTGAGAGAGCCAGTGGGAGATGGGCGTCCCGAGGTGGAGAAGGGGTGCCAGTTCCAGCTCTACCTGAGGTTCAGCTCTACCTGAGGGGGTGGGGGAGGCAGAAGGGGCTTCCGACGGACCAGATCACGAAGCGCTGCCGGCAACGGCACGGTGGTGGCGGAGGTGAGGGAGGCTGCGTGGCAGGCGGGACGTGGCCAAGAAGCGGAGAGAGGGCATTTGTCCAGAACCGCCTGCCGCGGGCCCTCGGTGCGGAGCCACAGGTGGCTGGTACTTGGGACGCTGAAGCCGGGGGCAGACCTGCACCTCCCCCCACCTGCCCCGCTCGCCTGGGCCTCTCAGGGCTGGGCTGGCGCCTGCAGTCCACCTGCCCTTGAACCGGCAGTCAAACCCACCATCGGCCTGCAGGGCAACGGGTGGGAGCGCACCTGGGTGGGCGTTGTGGCTGGGCCTGGAAGAGGCGGCGCGGGGGCGGGGGCCTTGCGGGTTCGGCAAAGCGCGCAGGCCCCCCGCGCTCCGTTGTCACACGCACGCCCAATGCACACAGGACGCTCGTGCCCGCCCGCACATGCAGGCGCCGGTGCATACCTCCGAGTGACGCAGCAGCCCAGGGTGGCGTATGTGTGAAAGCGAGTCTGTGACGTGACCTGCAGCCAAGCTTCCTGAGGGCTTTCGGCTGAGGGTCCGTGCCCTCCCGTCCAGCCACCCATCGCAGCCTCAGCACAACCTCACTGCTCAACCTGTGCCCCCTCCCCAAGCCTCGTAGAGGAGACGTACACCGCCCCACATCCCAGCCCAGCAGCCTACGGCGAGCGGGGAGCAGCTGATCCGCTGTCGAAGGCACAATTACAGCGCAGCGTGGAGGGAGGGGGCCGGTGGGAGGAGTAGGGAAGACCCCTCCCATTCCACGGAGCTAAGTGTCTGTCGTGTGAATGAGCCCAGCCAGCCTGCCCAGAGGGTCTGCATGACTCAGGCAGGGAAAGGAATTTTGCGGGGGGGGGTGCTTCCCAGATGCAGCCCAGCCCCTACCCCAGCATTCTGCCTGGAACAAGGCGCCTAGAGTCAGACGCAGAGGGTCCGTTGGGCCCCCAAGTCTTTTCTTCAAGAAGACGTGTCATTGCCTGCCTGTCTCTGTTGCCATGGAAACCCAAGATGATGTAACGTGGACGTCATGCAGAGGCAGAGGAGTTGGAGCTTACGTTTGGCTTAACGGGAACCCAGAGGCGGAGCTCGTATGGATAGGGGCCTCCTGCGGGAGAGGAGGGGGAGACCTCGGCCTTCCGCCTTCCAGGGGGCGTGGCCACCAAGCTGAGATTGACAGGTTTGCGGGGGTGGGGGCTGTGCCCCCTCTGCCCCTCCCGGCTCCTGTCTGTAAACCGCAGGTTGGGTTTGAGAGTCGCGGGGCGTCTGCTGCGTGAAGGCCCCCAGCCCCCTCCCCCTAGAGGGCACCCTCCCCAGCCCCTCGCCAAGCTCCCCTAAAGGCCGGGGCGCTTGCTGTCCCCACCTCGCACAGCCCTCCCCTGCAGTGCCCGGTCGTTCCCCCCCGCCCTCCTCCGCGGCCCCCTTTCGGCGGTTTTCATCTCTATTTCCTTCTTCGCACGGATCGCCCGACCTTCTTTTATTTATATGTTGATGGCTCCTTGTCCGTCTCTGCCTCGTGGAGCGTGGACGTCATATACGCGCGGTACGAGCGAAGAAGGACAGATGTCCCGCCCGCCTGGGGCAGGTGCCCAGGTGCCCGGACGTCATCCACAGGCCGAGGCCCGGCCAGGCCTCGACCCACCTCAGGAAGAGCACACCGCCTCAGCCTGGGGTGGGTGGGGAGTGGGGATGCTTTGCCGGTCTGTACGGCCCGGGCAAGGCGCGCACATCCGGGGAAGGGCGCCGGCTCAAGACCCTAAGAGAAGCCTCCTCCGCGGGCGCCTGGGGAGTGAGTCCACGATGCGGCGGCCCCTCTCCCAGCCTGGGCCGGGGGCTTCCTGCCCTCCCCACAGTGACCGCCCCGAGCCTCCCTGCCCAGTGCCTCCCACACGTCCTGCAGGTCTGTCTGACTCTGCCGCTGGCAGGGGCTCCCCCTCTGCGTTCCCACCTGGCCTGCCCGCACCGGCACCCACAGCAGGGCCTGGCTGCTGGGGTTTGAGTGAGGGCCTGGCAGGCACCTGCGGTGGTGGAGCTGATGCCCAGGAGGGTCGCTCAGGACAGAAGTTTGAGGGTTGCAGGGTGGATGCAGGCAGTGGCGAGGGAGGGGCCACATTCGGAGGCCAGGGTGGAAAGCTCAGCCCGAGGTCCTCGTTAGGAAGGGGACAGCCAGGGCACAGTTGTCAAAAGGCTGTTCAGTCCTGGGAGAGGGCGTGGCCTGGCTGTGCCTCTGCTACCTGCCCGCTGTCGTTTGGTTTTGTTTGTTTTTAACCTTTTTTGTTGTGAAATATAACGAACTCAGAAGAGGACACGAAGCAAACGTGCAGCCTAATGATTCGTCATAAGTGAACCCCAGGCGTCCAGCATCCAAGAGAAGACCGGAAACGCCCGCCCCGCCCCGAAGCCGCTCCCCTCCCCCAAGGGCACCACCCGGGACTCTGCAGACGCAGGAGCATTGGCCGCACCTCCGAGCTCCTGAGCGCGGGATGGGGTCCTAAACAAGGCTGTTGTGTTTCTTTATTCTCGACCCTTCATGTGTGCCTGGCTTCTTCTGGCCGACGCTGGCTTTGTGATTCAGGGCTGTTCTTGCAGGTAGCGTGGTCCCTTCCCTTCCCTGCTCTGACGACCTCGCAGAAACGCCTCTATTCATGTGCTTGTTCCACTGTGGAGATGCCCCGTGGTGCGCGCGTCTGTGGGCAGTGCTGCTGTGCACGTGGGTGCACACCTGCCTTCCTGCGGGGTGTCTGCCCAGGAGTGAGTGAGGCCGTCACAGGTTCAACACCCTAGATAAAGCGGCCCCACCCCACCCTGTGGCGGCCTGTGTTCCTGCTCTCCCTGTCCTGGTGTTCGGCTTCCCCCCCGCCCCGCTCCCCCACCACCACCCCCGCAATTTGTCTCTTCAAGGATAATGGAGTGAGCAGCATTTCAGTATTCATGGCCATTGGAAATCCTCTTCTGTCCATTTTTCTCTTGGGTGATCTGCCTGTCTTTCTTGACCAACTCGAGACGCTCTGTTTATACGGTAGATGCCTGACCCATCTTGGCTTCCACCATTGCTGGGTGGCTCCAGACAGCAGACGTTCGTTCTTGCGCAGCTCTGGAGGCAAGAGGCGGGACATCAAGGTGCTGCAAGGGCCGAGCTCCCCTGAGGCTCCAGGGGAGGCTCCTTCCTTCCTCTTCCAGCTTCGGTGGCCCCAGGAGTCCCTTGGCTTGTGGCCACCTCCCTCTAGTATCCACCTCCATCTTCAACATGGCTTCCTTCCTGTGTGTGTCTGTGTCCAAATTTCTCCCTTCTTATAAGGACACCAGTCATTGGATCAGGGTCCACCCTAATCCAGTATGAGCTCATCTTAACTTGATTAGATCTGCAGAGACCCTATTTCCAAATAAGATCACGTTCACAGGTGCCCAGGTTAGGGCTTGGGCTCGTCTTGTTGTTGAACCCACAACAAGTCCTTTCTCATTTGCAGGTTGCAAATATTTTCTCCCAGTCTTGGTTTCTGTTTCCATTCTTTGAAGGCTATGTTTTGATGGGCAGAAGCTCTTAATTTTTTTAATTGAACTGTAGTTAATTTACAGTGTTGTGTTAGTTTCAGGTGTACAGTGACTCAGTTATACATATATAGTGATTCAGTTATACATATATAGCTATTCCTTTTTGGATTCTTTTCCATTATAGGTTAGTACAAGATACTGATTATAGTTCCCTGTGGTACACAGTAGGCTCTTGTTGTCTACCTATTTTATATATAATAGTGTGTATATGTTAATCCCAAACTCCTAATTTATCTCCCCCTACCCCTGCTATCCCCTTTGGTAACCATACATTTGTTATAAGAAGCTGTTAATTTTAATGTAGTTCTTTTATCAATATTTTTTGTGGTAGCGCTTATTTGTGATACTGAAAAACTCTTCCCCTCCCTGAGACCAGGAAAATATTCTCCTGTATTATCTCCACGACGCTTTCCATCTTGGCTTATCCACCGGGAGTAGATTTTTGTGTGGGGTGTGAGGTGGGGATTGGGTCCACTGTTTGCCATGTGGACGTTGGGTGGCCATCCCCAAGCTTTGCAGTGACATCTCCGTGGTCCGTGTGTATAGGGTGTGTCACATGGGTCTTTGTACATCATGCAGTGATACCACACGGCTATGTGACAAGCTAGACGCCTGGCAGACAAGTGCCCCCCTCGGTCTTTTCCAAGATGTTATGAGTATCCTTGTCCCTCTGCCTTCCATATAAAATTACAAAGCTTATCAAATTCACACAAAAAGGACTTCCCTGGTAGCGCAGTGGTTGGGAATCCGCCTGCCAATTCAGGGGACACGGGTTCGAGCCCTGGTCTGGGAAGATCACACATGCCACGGAGCAACTAAGCCCATGTGCCACAACTACTGAGTCCATGCGCCACAACTACTGAAGCCCACGTGCCTAGAGCCTGTACTCCACAACAAGAGAAGCCACCGCAACGGGAAGCCCATGCACTGCAATGAGAGTAGCCCCTGCTCGCTGCAACTAGAGAAAGCCCACGCACAGCAACGAAGACCCAACACAGCCAAAAATAAATTAAATAAATTTATTTTAAAAATACATAACTATTGATATATTTTTTAAAAATTTCACCTTGGAATTTTGATTGGGATTTATTGATTCTATAGCTACACTTTGAGGGGAAATGATGTTTTTAAACATGGAAACTTCCAAAATCCATGACCATATATTTCCCCATTTATTTAAGGAATTTAGGAGTTATTTGGTCTCAGTCAATAATGTCTTTTTTAGGGGCTTCCCTGGTGGCGCAGTGGTTGAGAGTCCACCTGCCGATGTAGGGGACACGGGTTTGTGCCCCGGTCTGGGTAGATCCCACATGCCGTGGAGCGGCTGAGCCCGTGAGCCATGGCCGCTGAGCCTGCGCGTCCGGAGCCTGTGCTCCGCAACGGGAGAGGCCACAACAGTGAGAGGCCCGCGTACCACAAAAAATAAATTAATAATAATAATGTCTTTTTTAAAAAAAAATTTATTTAGGCTGCACAGGGTCTTAGTTGTGGCATGCAGGCTTCTTAGTTGTGGCAGGCATGCAGGATCTAGTTCCCTAACCAGGGATCGAACCTGGGCCCCCTGCATTGGGAGCATGGAGTCTTACCCATGGGACCACCTGGGAAGTCCCAGTCAATAGTGTCTTGACAGAGGTTTCTTCTGGTTTTCCACAGGGAGGTCCTTCTAATCTCTTATGAGACCTGCTCCTGAGCATTCGATATCTCTGATACTGTTTAAGTGGAATCTTTCAACAAATTATGTTTTAATTTTTTGTCACTGATACACAGAAACAGAACTGATTTCTGAATACCTTAAGCCCATCAACTCTGCTGAACTCACTTTCCAACCCGTATAATTTATACGCAGATTCTTTTAGATTTTCTACACACAGAAGATGCTTTCTCTGTGAATAATGAGAGTCTTACCTAATCTCATCCAGGCTTTGTACCTCTTATTTCTTTTTCCTGCCATATGGCTTGGCTAGGACCTCTATAAATCACCATCATTTATAGAACTGATAATAAAGGGCCTTGTATCTCCCTTTCTTTTTTTTTTGGCTGTGCCGCGCAGCTTGTGGGATCTTAGTTCCCAGACCAGGGACTGAACTGGGCCCTCGACAGTGAAAGCATGAAGTCCTAACCACTGGACCACCAGGGAATTCCAATAGATTTTTTAAAATAGTAAACAAATGTTGAACCTTACCAGATACTTTTTCAGCTACTATTGAAATTGATGAGATCATTTTTCTTCTTTATTCTGTTCATATGGTGAAAATAATGATTGCTTTCAGATGTGAAATTTCCAGAATACACCCAGCCTTTTAATATCTTGCTGGATTCCACATGCTTGCATTTTATCTGGGGCCTTGGCACTGGTGTTGGTGGGTAGCATGGCCTGCGAGGTCTTCTGTCTCGTTGTCCTTGCCGAGTTCTGAGATAGAGGTCGTGCTGGCTTCACAAGCTGGGGTGTGCTCCCGTGTTCTTTCCTCTGGATGAGTTTTGTATGAAATTTGCATGATTTCCTCCTTAAATGATTGGTAGAATCCAGGGGTGATGCTGCCTGGGCCTGGAGTTCTTTGTTGGAAGATTTTAACAAGAGATTTAATTTCTTAGTGGACATGGGACCATTTCTTTCTCCTTTTGATTGACTGAGTATATTTTGTGTTTCTGTTTTTTCAGTTTCAAGTCATTTGCTGTGTTCCTTTTCTCTTATCAGTCAGCCTAGAAGTGAAACCATCTTGACCTCCCCCAGGAAGCTTTGTGCTCCTCCAAGCCATGCAGGTCCCTCCCACCTCCTGCCTGCCCCCCACTCCTGTTCTTGTCAGGGCGTTCCAGCTCCCCAGATGGTCCAGTCCATGTACACCATTACTGCCACGCTCTGTGCAGTTAGCTCTTGGATTCATTCACTAGCATCCTCTTTCTGTAGCTCTTTGTTACTTCCTGCATCTCCAGTAGGGTTGCCAGATAAAACATAGGACACCCAGTTAAATTTGAATTTCAGATAGACAATACTTTTTAGTATAAATATGTTCCTGTATTGCATATTACATGGATATATCATAAAAAGCAAAAGCATCTGTTGCTTATCTGAAATTCAGATTTAACCTGGCGTACCGTACTGGCCACCCTACTCTCCAGGCTTCTATCTGGGATTGTTTTCTGTTGGTTGCTGCCCTTAGAATATCTCCTGGAGCAGGTGGGCCAGTGGAAGACTCTGCCAGGCAGTCACCAGTCAGAGGCACTCTCGCCCGCACGGCTGTGGGGGCCAAAGGGAGTCCAGGGGGCAGGAAGGGACTAGAATCCTGCGGCTGGACTCACCCGGTTTGTCCTGGGGAGGTTGGCCTGGCCACCCACGGCCCAACCCACCTCTGGCGTGAGGAGCATAAGGGCCAGCCTGGGGCCCTCTCACTCCAGAGCCAGCTGGTGTGGACATCTGTTATGTGGCCAGTGACCCTGTGTCTGCCTCTGGACAGGACGAGGACTGCCATCCACCATGGTGAAGCTGAACTGCAGCTTCTCGGGGAAGACAGGCTCCGGGGACGGGGCTACCATGGACAGCGTCCCTCTGATCAGTCCCCTGGATGTCAGCCAGCTACAGCCTGCGTTCTCCGACCAGGTGAGGGGCCTGGGCCAGCGTGGAGGCCTGTGTCATCCTGCCCTGGAAACACACGGGCGTTAGCAAGGTGGCTTTAGGTGTGGCCTCCTCTAAGGGGCAGCTGAGCAAGTGGAGGAAGGGCCAGGCTGAGCCTGCTGTGTGCCCCGATCGGCTCCCCCCGCCACCCAGAACTGCCCTTTCCTCATCTGCAAATCAGGGTAAACTGGCCACAGGTGGTGGTGAGGATTCACATGCTCTCACAGACAGTGCCCAGCTTGCCTGCGGTCCAGCAGGGGCTCAGCAGCAAAAACTACCCCCTTCCTCTGCTGGGCGTGCTCTTTCTTGGATTGCAGCCTGAGATGAGGTCCTTGGGCAAGGGGTGGGTGGAGGGGGAGCGCTCAGAAGGAACCTGTAAGAAGCAGAGCTCAGCTCAGGCACAGCTCTCCCTGACCCCACCGGAGCTCTGGAGAGTGAATGGCACGCAGAGTTGTCCCAGCCTGAGTCCCCCGTCAGCCATTGGCGAGGGCAGGGGGCACGTCCCAGCATTGCTCCCATGAGCCGAGGGCATTTCTCCAGCGATCTGTGTGGGCTTCGACCATGCCTGCTACCGTTCTGGACCTGGTTCCCAAAGGGAAGGCTCAGTGGTGGGCTTCCTGGAGGAGGGGACCAAGCTGTGGTACCCTGGAAGAGGAAGCTTCTGGCAGGGACAGCTAGCGTCCTCAGAGCCGAAGGCAGCCAGCAGACGTAGGGGCTCTTTCCATCATCTGGCCAGGCCCTGGGCTGCCACGGCCCTGGCCGACTTCCAGTGTCCCCCTCCCTTGGTGTCAGCTGGTAGCCACTAGAGCCCTGCCACTAGCACCCACACCACTGCGGGCAGCTGCCCCCTGCCCCCTTTCCCTCCCAGCCCCCCTAGTTCAGGGTCCTCCTGCATCATTTCTTCCCACAGGTTGTCATTAAGACACAGACGGAATACCAGCTGTCCTCCGGGGACCAGCCGACAAAGTTCTCCGACCTAGAGGCCCAGAAGCTGGGCGGCGGCCACCCAGAGGATGCACGTAGCAGGGTAACCCAACCCTCCCCGCCAATTCCATGGGGAATCAGGGCAGGGGAGATGGAGAGGCAGCTGCAAGGTGTGGGAACCCAGGCTCTGGACTGGGTGGGCTGGGGGCCCTTGGTCGGGGCCCTGCTCTCAGTAGAGCTGGACAGGGAATCACCCCATCAGAGGTAGGGGTCGGGCCTGGGCAGCAGCAGGCTCTGCTGGCCTCCCTGCTGCTGTAACATGGGGTGCGGGCAGCCGCCGCCCTCGGAGGAGCCCCTGGCAGGAGACGCAGTGCCTGCTTGCGCCCTGCACCGTTTCCCAAGGGGGTCGTTTGTCTCTTCCTCGGTGACTCGCGGATTTCCCGTAGACGATGGAGACTCACTTTTCCTGCTGTGTCTCTGGCAAATGTGTTTTCCTTTCCTTTTCTAGCTCTTCAGCTTACTAATGGTGGCTTTTTTATAACTTTTAGGGTACCATTTCTAAAGCCTTTCATTTCTCAGTAGTAACTCTGCCCCTTTCCCCTTTCCCCATCCTTTCTGAGAGGCCGGTGAGCCCTGGGCTGTGTGCGCAATGGGCGCCGGCCCTGAGGTTTGCGGCCCGGGCCCTGCGCAGCCTCACCACCCCACCTCTCCTCTCCGCACCTGCCCACCCCCCAGATGCCCACAGGGCGGATGATCGCCTTCACCATGGCGCTCATGGGCTGCCTCCTGATCATGTATAAGGCCATCTGGTATGACCAGTTCAGCTGCCCCGACGGCTTCCTGCTTCGGGTAAGGCCGGTGGACAGGGCACCGGGGCTGGGAAGGGCAGTCGCGCCCTGCAGGCAGAGTGCCAGGGAGGGTCCCAGGGGGGTGTCCTGTGGAAGGACGGGGTGCCTCCCCTCCTCTCCCCCAAGCTACCCCCAGGAGGGTTGGTCTGGGGTGTTCCCAGCTCTATGGGAACGTGACCTGCAAAGGCCCTCAAGCCCCGTCACCTTCCAGGTATATTCAAGTCCTATCTTTAGAAAAATTAAAAGAAAAGGTGTTTTAGCGAGAGGTTTTCTCTTCTTGTAATTTAAAAAGTAAAGCATAAGGAAGGAGGTCCAGGTGGAGGGAAGCCTCCCTCACTTGTATGTGGTGTGTTTCTATGTCACAGGATGTTGACGTTTTCTGTATGCTTGGAAAGTGTTCCCCCATCCTTGTTTCTTTTCTCTCAGCTTTGCTTATGGTGACTTTTACCATTTTCAGTGTATTTTTTCAAGACTCTAAGTTTTCAGTAGATAAATCGTCCCCCTTTCCCCGTGATTTCCAAGAGGGGAGCGCTCCCCCCCCAGAGGCCACGGGCCCCCACTGTACTTCCAGGGGTGCACCGGGCTGCTAACGGCCCTCACTCACTGGGATTCCCTCGGGGGCCCGCGGGGTGGGGGCGGGCCGCGGGGCACTCGCCGAGCCCCTTCCCCTTCACTCAGGAGGAGGCCATGGCCACCGGCCACCGGTGCGTTCGGAGAAGGGCTGGCTCTCTGCGGAGCCTCCAGGTCTGAATTGCAGGCCTACCCCTGATGGCTTGAAATTACGGCAGAAATCAGTGTATTTAGGGGCACTGTCTACAGTATGACCGAACTGCTCAAAAGCAGAGGTGACCGCCCGCCCGCGGGTGGCCCACGGACGTGGCTCCCGCATCGCGGCTGATGCCACTGAGAAAAAATGCACCCCGTTTTGCACACCCGAGCCCAGGGGCGCGGCCGCCACACCTCCCCCCACCCCCGCCCCTGACCGGCCCCCTTCCGCAGCACAAGATCTGCACCCCGCTGACCCTGGAGATGTACTACACCGAGCTGGACCCTGAGCACCACCGCAGCCTCCTGGCGGCCATCGGGGCCTACCCAGTGGGCCGCAAGCACGGCACGGAGACCCCGTGGTTGTCCGCGAGCTACCACGCCTTCAAGGAGGCGCCCAAGGCGCACAAGGCGCCCGCCCGCGCGGCCATGGCGGCGGTCACCGAGCCCTCGAGGAAACCCTCGGGGAAGCCCTCGGGGGAGGCCTCGGCGCCCGGAGAGAAGGAGGCGGCGCAGAAGGTGGAGGGGAGCGCGCCGCCCCCAGCCCCCCAGTGATGGCCTCTGGCCTCCGGGTCGCAGCCCGTCCGGGTAGGTGGGACCCTCCTCCCTATCCGCCCCACCACCCCCGGGAGGGGCAGGGCGCCGGCCCGGTCGGCCGGAGGCTCACTCAGGGGTGCTGTCCGCCCTGGCGACCCCTGTGACCGCGTGAGGGTCTCGGGCAGGAAGCAGGCACGAGGGCGTGGGCAGGGCAGGATGGGGGATGGGGGGCGTGGGCAAGGCGCGGGGGTCGGGGACCGGAGTGTGGGGGGGCGGGGTCAGTGGGGGGGCGGGATCAGGCGAACTGGAGGCGGGAGGGCGGAGTTCAGCCTCATTTCTTCGCACGCAGGTGGGCGGTGTGGTCGTGCGCCCGCCCCAACTTGCCCGGCCTCACCCCTCCTCCCCTCTGTCTTCGCAGCGTCCCACGCCGGCACCTGTGACCGCCCTCGCCCGACGCTCGCCGCTCTGTGGTCGCTGTGGTCGCCGTGGTCGTGCCCCTGCTCCCAGGCCCCCTCGCTGACGCCCCCCGCCCCGTGAGCCTCTAGCTCTGTCGCTTTTCTCTGAGTAAAGATTCACCTCCACCTGGATCTCGCGCTTCTCCTGAGCATCCTCGGCTCTCCGGCCTTTTTCCTGACCCCCCAACCCCGTTCGGGCGAGGGCCCGAATTCTGTCCCCCGTTGCCCAGCTTTTCTCAAGCTTTAAAGCTCAATTTAAAAGCATTTATTAACCTAGTAACCTTTGTATATGTCTTCACTTATTCTTTAATTAATACGCCATTAATTTATACATTTAATCTCTCTAAACTGTTAAAGACATTTCCCAGAAGTGACAACTTCATTAATTAGATTCCCTATGGCTCTCATACCCCAGGAGCCCTCTGAGCATCTAACAGCGCGGACCCCACCCGCCTGACACCGCGAGGTCGGAGTCAGATCTTAAACTGAAATTCTCTCACCTCCTGGAACTAAAACCCAGGATTGCTGAGATGAAATTTAAGCCATTTCAAATTAAAACGAGTTGCCTGTGCTGCATCCTCTTAAGACTTCCCCTGGTTTTCAGTAGCGAACAGCAGGAACTGATGCTGCTGGTACCACTTCTGGGCGAACCTAAGCCTAGACGGGCAGCAGGAGCAGGGCTCCACCCTCCCCGCGCCGTGTGCGGGGTCCCGCGGACCACCTCGCCGCACCAGGACAGGCTCCTGGGACGGACCCAGGCCAAGAGGGCCGTGGCTTCTGGCCAGTGTCAGGGTGTGGGCTGGGGCTCGGCTCTGGGTGGCCTGCCCGGCCCCCTGCGGTAGCCCCGGCCCCGCAGCGTGACCCACAGTGCAGACCCTGCAGTAGAACAGGCGAGCAAAGACTCTTTCCCCCGCCCTGCGGCCTGCGATGTGGTGACCCTTCCAGGGTTCCCTCTGCACACAGATGCACACACTCACGTGCACACATACGGTCGTGCCTCGGTACCACGGGGATTGGTTCCAGGACGCCCCACAGATATCCAAGTCTGTGGATACCAAAATCCAGGGGTGCTCGAGTCCCTTATATAAAATGGTGTAATATTTGCACATAACCTACGTACATCCTCCCGTGTACTATAAATCATCCCTAGATTACTTATAATACCTAATACCATGTAAATGCTGTGTAAAAAGTTCCTGGCTTGGCAAATTCAACTTTTGCTCTTTGGAAGGTTCTGGAATTTTTTTTTTTAATATTTCTGATTGGCAATTGGTTGAATCCTCGTATGCGGAGCTTGAGGGTACACAGGCACACGCACACATGCCGACACACGCGTGCACACATACTCCCACCACCCCCCTCCCAGGTGTCCGGTGCACACACATGTTCTTCTGGGGTGAAGACCCTTCCCCAGCTGGGGCGGTGGGCGGAGGCCCGCAGAGGTAGCGGCTGTCCTCGGGTGTTGGACTGGGATGGGGGCTCCTGGCTTGTGTTTTGAGTGGACTCCCCTCAGAAGCGGCCTCCACCCGCCTGGCTGTGGCTGTGTCCCCAGATGGGATGCCCCGCCTCAGGGTTCCTGCCATTCACCCAGCAGCTGGGAATCGGAGGGCGGGGGACCTAGGCCAGAGAAGAGAGTCAGCCGCGGTCCTGCCACGGGGGGCTGCGCAGTCTCTTGGGACCAGACCCCTGAAAACTCAGTTTCCTCGTCTGTAAAATGGGGACCCAGGCAAGCTGGCGCCTGTGGGGTTGCTGGGACAGGGCCGCTCTCACGAATGTGGGTTCCCTCGCTCCGGAACAAGGCTCTCTGTGCCCCTGGGGTCACCCAGGCTCCGCTGGGCAGCGCCAACATCAACCCGCTTCCAGGGTGCCTTCTGCAAGCCGCCCCACCAAGGGCATCATGCTGAGGGACCCCTCACCCCACTGCTGCCACCTTCATGGCAACCCCGTCACCTGCGTGGGCCCCTTACAGCAACATGCAGCTCCGCCGTCTCCTTGGCCAAAGAGACTCTCAACTACACTAGACCCCAAGACCTCTGGAGACGCTTCTCAGCAAGGCGGTTGGGACCTGCCCTCACACTCCGTCCCAGCTGGGCCTGGGGCCCCCCGGCTCCGCCCACGTCTCCCCTCTAGGGAGGACCTCTGGGGAGAGCGCCTGGCTCATGGCCTCGACCCAGTGCTCAGGACGCCCAGCGCAGGTACAGGACAGCCCTCTGCTGACCTGGGCGCTGCACCCCCACCCTGTCCCCTTGGGGGAGGATCCTGGAGAGGGCAGCTCTGGCCCAGCCCCACCGTCCATGGTGAGGCTCACCTGACCCGCAGGGCAGAGCCCAGCCAGGTGGAGGTCAGTGGAGGGGCCTAGGAAGTCTTGGGGATGTCAGGGGTCCTAAAAAGGCCCTGGAGGGTCGTATGGGGCCCTGGGGACAGTCCATTCAGAGTCACCCCTGCTGAATCCAGGCCTGAGCTGGGACGGGGGTCACCAGGGTGTGGCAGCCTCATCCTGGAGGCCTTCCTCTCCTGTCTAATGGGAAACTGCGGGGCTGAAATGGGGGCTGCTGCAGAGGCCCCGTGAGGTGGCTACCAGCGGGTGGCGCGCCAGGATGCAGGGCCGGCCTCGGACAGCTGCCGGAGCACCTGGTGACCAGCAGCCTTGTGAGGGGGCTCCCAGCACTGGTTAGAGCCTCAGCCCCTCCCTGGGGTTCACAGGCCCCAGCCTGCCTGAGGCCACCCCACTGAGAACCAGTCCAGGACCCAGCAGAGGAGCTTCCTGGGGCGTCTACAGGGCGTGGAGCTCCCAGGTCCACGGAGCCTGCACCTGCATCCTCAGCTGTCCGGGGTGGTGAGTTGGGGTTCTGTCCTGGGGCAGACAGCAGAGGTTGCGCACTCAGGGGCCTCTGCTCCTGCCCCCACCGTGAAAGCCCTGGGTGCCCCCCAACCACCGACCACTGGAGCGGGTGGCAAGGCCGAGGGGTCAGAGCAAGCAGTGTGACCCTGGGCAGCCCTGAGTCCAGGCTGCGGGGAGGTGGGCAGGCGTCCTGGCATTCTGGAGTGGCAGGCCTGGGTCCCACGGCCCTGGAGTGGGTGCTGGGGGCTGGCCAGCCTGGGGCGCCCCAGACCCTGGTCCCCGGCGGGCACTCTGGGGGGACCACTTCTCCAGGTCTAGCGCCGCCAATGCCTGGAGCTGCCCGGCCCCAGTGGGGGGATCTGTGCCGTACTGGGGGTGGCCAGGCCCCGAGAACTGGAGCAGGGCTGTCTGAGGCAGGGCCTGCCTGCCGCGGGCATAGTGCAAAAGAGCCTTGGATTTCCCACAGCCTACGTTACAGATAACGGTCCCATAGAAAGGCTCGTTTAAACGTCTCCCCTTCCTTGTTGCACAAATGTGCTATTTCATGACAAAAAGTCCAGCCTTTTGAAGTGACAGACGGCCCTTCTTTTTGTCCCTCTCCCCATCTCCCGGGTGCACGGCTCGGTGCTACTGGGCAGGAATGCCAACGTCATCAGCGGTGTGCCCAAGGAGCCAAGGGGCCGTGCGTGTGCATGTGTGCGGATGTGTGTGTGCGTGTGCATACATGTGGGTGGGTGTGTGGGAATACATGTGGGCGCATGCGCATACATGTGGGTGTGTGGGGGCCTACATGTGGGCGTGTGCAGGTTACATGTGGGTACGTGTACATACGTGTGGGCATGTGCGGATACATGTGGGTGCGTGCACACAGGTAGGCCTCTGCCCCCGGACCCAGGCACTGCCTCCCAGGGCTCCCTGTGCTGCCCCCAGGAGTCTGATCCCTAAAGGCTGACCAGTGCCCAGCTCTGTGCCCAGGGCTCCTGTGCTCTCTGGCACAGATGCATTCTGGGCACTGAGTGGACCCTCGGCCTGGACAGGCGTGGCCAGTGTGGCCTGGGGTCGGCCTCTCTGTAACTGTGGTACCACCTGTGCGGTCCGAGAGGCAGTTTTGGCCTGGAGCAGGGGTGGGTGGACCCATGCTGAGACTCTGCTGGGGATGGAGGACCCAGTGGGGTCCGGGAGGGGGGCTGCTGGAAGGCAGCAGGAGCCCCCACTGTTCCGAGGCTCCTTCTCCATGTGAGACCCAGATGGTGCCCTTCCTTGGGCATCTCAGAGGCCAGGTGCTGGGACCCTCAGGTGGCTCTTGCTGCTAAGCACTGTGCCCTAAAACGTTCCGGCGCCCAAGCCACCCAGCAGGCTTTGGGGCTCACAGGACACTTCCCCCTTTGGCTGTGCCCGTCACCACGTCCTGGCCATGCTGCTTCCCCATCAGCCCCCAACCCTTAAATTTGCAGGGGGGCCCGGCCCCACGGGCATGGAGAGGCTGTGTCAGGGCCCGTCTCTGGGGCCCCCGAGGTCCGGGGCCTGCCTGGCGCCTTTGCTCACGCTGCCCCCTACCCAGAGCCTCCTCTTCTCTGTCTCTCACTCTGCAGGTCAGTCTCCTCTGGAGGGGGAGCCTCTCTGTGCGATCCTGGCCCAGGGCGGAGGCGACCAGTACAGCCTCTGTGCCAGCCTCCAGCAAGACACTCGTGTTATGATTTTGTTCAATTAACCCTTGTTAAGCGGAGCACAGGGTGCTGGATGGTGAGCCGGGTTCAACAACAGACCACAAGAGCCAATGAAACAGGCGAGTTTATTACTCGCAGGGGAGGTCAGGCAGGCAGGCAGCGCGAGCTTGCATCAGGGTCCACGGGGGCAATGCTTTGGGGTCCCTGCGCTGGGCCGGATTGGTCAATTCAAACCACAAGAGTGGAGTTTCGGTCCACCCTGGGGGTCTCATCTCAGGGGCACCAGGGGAAGGCAGGCCAGGGAGGGAGGGCGCTGTGGCTCACCGGGCTGCTGGGAAGGCCCCTCAGGAGGCTGCACCAGCCTGTGACTCTTGGGCTGCTGTCCGCGGCCTGCACTTGCTGACTGCAAGGCTGCCAGCCAAATGAAGTGTCTGCGGGGCCACTATACCACGCAGGGGCTTAGCTAAGCTCTCGCCAGCACAGCACCTGGCCGCGGGCCGGGGGCTCCCCGAGGAGGGCCAGGAACTTCTGCCAGCTGCTCATCTACAGATCGGTAAACTGAGGCCCAGGACAGAGCCCCAGGGCCACTGTGCACCTGCGACGTCCTGCCCTGGTGCGTAGGGACCTCTGGGGACACCGGCCAGGGTCCTGCTCCCCTGGGGGCACAGAGCGATGGGAGCCACACCGCTCAGCCAGGACTCTCAGGTGGCCCGGCTATCCCCGCACCCAGAACCAGTTCGCGCTCCAAGGCTGCTCTCTTGGGGA